TCTCTGCCTATATAATGCAGAGGTTGTTTTATGCTCATCAAGTTCTAAATGAGCTGTTGCCTGTCCCATAGAAGATCAACCTCGACAGACCCTAAACAAGTTAAGGAAGGCAACAGTGGTCAAATACAAACAGGTGTACAAGAGCTACATAGAAAAGGTATGTCATGTCCAATGGGCAAGATCACGAACATAGACTATTGTAGCCAGGAATACCTGGATTATCTCCTACGAAGGCAGTGAGGAATCATCTACAGCAGAGTATACAGGTCAAGTATACCTCATACCCAACCCAAACATTCTAGGTATCCTTAATTGATAAAAAAGGGTTTGAGACATCACTAAACCTTTCTAGCTAGCTGGCTAGTGAGCTATTTGTTTCTCTTTTTAGAATGGGAGTTTTCCAACATATCAAAAGATAGAGAAAACATTGTAATGAATCTCAATTCTGCTGGTTTTATCTAAGTATTCTTACATCTGCTTCTTCTTTGAGCCTAGATCCCACCTCATGGAAATGGGTAGGTGACTCTATTGCAGGACTGCTATCTCTCTGTTTACAAACCACCTTGTTCAACATTAAAACTTCAGAATGTGTGCTACTCTCATTTATGAGGTCAGAACACATCCATTCTCCTTGGCTGTTGACTTCAGAGATTCCAATTCTATCTCCACCCAAAGCAGAGAAAGATCCACTTCTACTCAATCTCTCAGCTATTCTCTCCCTAACAAAATTCCACTGGATTCCTCTGGAGTTTAGGCTACAAGGTCGTGCATGGCCCTTGGGACCTACCTTCCTCATGACCATCGGCTCGTTTTCCTGGAGGCTGGGACTCTGGCTTTGTTGGCTTCCGGTGCTTGTGCTTTCCCCTGACTCCATTGTGCTCTTTTCCTGAATCTGAAGCCCCTCTGGGGCTTTTCTTGGTGGGTTCCTGGGTATCTCCAGGCAGTTTCCAACACTATGAAAAGGAAGAATGAATCAGATCTGAGGTCAGTTTTGCTTCTTAAGAATGTTCTCCAACAGGAGACTGGGGGAATGTCAAAACAATACCTGACCCAACCTGAGACCCACCCCATGGTAGAGAGCCAACCCCTGACACTACTAACGATACTCTGCTACGCTCACAGACAAGAGCCTAGCATAGCTGTCCTCTGAAAGTCTACACCCAGCAGCAGAACAAAACAGATGCTGAGATTCACAGTCAAACATTGGGCAAAGTGTAGGGAGTCTTGTGGGAAAGTGGGGGGAAAGATAGAAGGACCTGGAGGTAACAGGAGCTCTACAAGAAGACCAACAGAGCCAACTAACCAGGGCCCAGAGGGGCTTCCTGAGACTGAAGCATCAACCAAAGACCACACATAGATTGGACCCAGGCCCCATACAAACATGTAGCAGATGGGCAGCTCAGGCTTCTAGTAATGGGAGTAGGGGCTGCCTTTGACATGGACTCACTTACTAGCTTTTGATCACTCCCCCTAATAGGACTGCCTTACCAGGCCTCAGGAAAAGAGGACATGTTCAGTCCTTATAAACTGGGGTGGGGGTATAGGAAGGCTCCCCTCTTCTGAGGAATAGGGGAGGAATGATGAGGGGACGAGGGAGGGAGGGGGATGGAAGGAGAGGAGGAGGGGAATACAAGTGGAATGTAAAGTGAATAAATAAATTAATTTAATAAAAATAAAGAACACTTTCCATTCTTAGGAAGGGTCAAGTCATAGGCTTTTGCCCACACATGGAAATGAACTGCCAGAGTCAGGACTAGGAGCATGTGTGTCATAGTGTTATAGAACATGATGGGCTATAAAGGCTCTCTTGGATTGATTCATGTGCCCTTGCTGGTCCTTCAGGCATCCACAACATTTTAAAGAGGTCTACAGAATATGTATGCAAGGACCTTCAGCACATACACGCACATCCCAAGTTTTTTTTTCAGAGGTCCAAAATTTGGCCCCATACTCTGCATATCCAAACACAGGTAGAGATATGCACTGAACAAAAATGCCTTTTCTGAAAGTTAGATAGCTACATGGTTCAAACAATTTCATTGTGAATAGCATTGCTATTAATTGACAATAATTCTGAGAACAAGCAAGTCAAGAAAAACTTCTTTCATGTGCCAGTTAATGCCAGAAAATGGATTCAACTGCAGCAAGAAGAGGAACATTATATAGGAAGTACAATTTGCACCTCCCTATGAACACAATGGACAGGGCCAGGCCTGGTATACCATTCACGGTTAGTCTGGTGTATATTAAAGGATGCTTTATACTCTGTAGCACTTTGAAGGGTACCATTTGCTTTATCACAACAACCACCTCACCAAACGGATGAAAAAGACTCAACTAAGAGGTCAACTGACTTTTTCTGGGCCACACACAGTGTAGGGTACACACTAAATCAAGGTATGCCACTTACCAGGCCACCCTGCAAGGTAGCTCATTTACATCTGCAATAAGAAAGATGGAGCTGGGACTAAGCCCCTTAGTTTAGTTCCTGGTGTTCCTGGTCCCTCTATCTGGGCCTCTTCTCATCAGCTTTCAGTACTCTCCTTCCATATTTGCTGCCTCTTTATCAAGCGTTTCTGCTCAGTCATATTCTCACCGACTGTTGTATTATCAGCTTAGATATTGTAGGAACTCTGCCCCCAAAGCCACAGATTTTCTCCAGCTTTGAGGTTTCTCTATGCCATGAAATAAGAAGGTAAGGTAAGGTAGGTGTTTTTAGTACTGTGGATCTGGGGAAAATGAAATTAGGTTTTAAGAAGACAGGAAGAGTTAAATATACCCAAAGGCAGCTGGGCATGGTGGCATACATGTTTAATCCCAGCACTGAGGAGGCAGAGGCAGGTGGATCTCCATGAGTTCAAGGCTAGCCTGGTCTACAAAGTGAGTTCCAGGACAGTCAGAGTTACACAGAGAAACCCTGTCTCAAAAATACAATAAAAAAAAATATCCTACTTGATATATATCAGCTGGGATGGATTGACAAGCCCCTAGCACAGCATGCCATTGGGCAGATCTGTGTTTTGTTTTGTTTTTCCTAGAGAGCTAAGGATGGACCTGCCCTAAAGGTAGGGAGCATCACACCATAGGCTCAGGGCCCAGATGGATAAGGGAAAATTGATGGGATGGGGAGGTAGTTAAGTAGGTCAAGTACTTGCTACAAGAACATGAGGACCTAAGATTCATCACCAGAAAAATAGTCAAGTGTGGTAGTGCATGCTTTTAATCTCAGCACTGAGGAGACAGAGCTAAGTGGATCCCTCTAGTCTAACTGATGAGCTCCTGTTTCCAGAGGAAGACCCTGTCTCAAAAACACAAAGTGGATAGATATGAGGAATCACACCCAAGACTGACCTCTGGCTTGCACAGGTACCTGTATACATGAACACCCACACACATGAGCACACACAAACACAAAGTAGGAAAACGAGAGCCCAGACTACAGACATGCATTCATTCATATTCATTCTCTTTCTGTGTTCCTTCCCTCACTCCTTCCCTTCTGGTTGCCATGAGCCGCTATTCTGCCCTACTATCTTCTTCCCACTAAGAGAGACTATATCTCTGAGTCCGTGAGCCAAAACAAACCATTCCTCTCTCACTGTTTTCTCAAATACTTAGTCACTGGGATGGAAGACTACTACATGTGTTTTCCTGTAGTCACATCTAAATCCCCTTCCAGTAGGGTGATCAATCTCTAGTTCCAGCAAAACAGGATGGCAGCTATTTAACTGATGAAGATTTGAGGGGAAAAAAAACAACCTCACTTCTCCAGGCACAGGGAGTACCCATTACCCATCAGATTCTCACCCTCTGCTCACTTAGCAGAGAACTAAGCTGAATAAAAATCAAGTTACTGCCAGTTCCTATGAACCAAAGTGTTAGAAAAAAACAAAAAAACTAGGGAGAAAAGAGAAAGATAAAGTTGACTCCTTAAAATCTGACCTTCACATACATCAACAAAAACTATTCTAAGGCTGGGGAAATAAGGTTAAATGCACATAAATTTGAACATGCCCTCTTTAGAGTAGAGATCATTAACTTTTGCTACCTAAGGTAGACAAAAAAAAAAAAGTAAAACCGAACATCTAGAAGAGATTTCAGTTTGTATCATCTGCCAGGGCAAGAGTGAAAGTAAAAATACATGATGCACTCCAACCACATGAGAAGTTGAGAGGATGAAGAAATCAAGATTGGTGTTTGGGCCCAGCATGGTGGTGCACGCCTCTAATCCCTGCACTTGGGGAAGCAGAGGCAGGTGGATCTCTGTGAATTTGAGGCCAGCTTGGACTACAAATCAAGTCCAGGGCAGCCAAGGATAGAAAAAAAAAAACTGTCTTGAAAAACCACCACCATTACCACCAACAAAAAGATCAGTGTTTGGGTTAACAGAGTTTTGAAATGTTTCAAAGGACAAGATTAAAATATAGCCAGCATCAAATGAAACATAATTTTTTGGCAGGCAAGATGGATTAGGAGGTAAAGGTGCTTGCTGCTACATGTGACAATCTGAGTTTGATCCTTGGTACCCACACAGAAGAAACGGAACTGCTGAAAACTGTTCTCTGATCTCCCAAAGATGCTGTAGCACACATGTACCATACACATACACATGAGCACAGAGAGTAAACATACATGTAATAAAAAAAATTGAAAGAAAAATAATTCAAGCAAGTTAACAGGAGCTTATTCTGCCTCTTGGCCATCCCCAGAAATGGGCTGTTTTGAATTAACTCCTCATCTCAGCCTGTCACATGTTTCTGAAGAAAATGGGACCTAATAATAACACTTAGATTAGTTGGTATCCATAGGAAAAAGAACGGGAAATGCTGGTTGCCTTCTCCTTCTCCTGTAACTTTATTTCTGCTCCCCACATTTCTCAGTTGGCCTACTGAACTAGTCATCTCATACAGGAAGGGCTATGCCTACTTGTCATTAAGTCAACATCATAAGACATAGCTTCATGAGGGCAGGGGCCATTCTGTTTGTGATACTAAAAACAAAAGCAGCCACTAACAGGGACTGAGCACTTAATTATGTGCCAAATGATATTTTAAGCACTTGTATGCCATCTAATTAATTGTAACAGCTTTACTGAGCTAAGCTGCAACAATTCACTAACATACATACAATGCAACTGTTTTCAGCATAAACACAGAATTGTGGAACTATCACCATTTACCTAGTATAAAAATTTTCTCCCCACTCTGAATGGAAACCCTATTCCCATTAATTGGTTTACTCAACAAATCTCCAATCCTTCCCAGCCCTAGGCAATTATCAGGCAACTTCTTATCCCTGTTAATTTGCTTGTTCTCGATATTTCATATCAACATCTCATTTAATCTTTCCAACAACCCTCTAACTAAGTACAATTATTTGTCTCACTGCAGAGATGAAGGAACTGAGGGTAACAGAGATTAAGTAGCACCCTTAATCAATGTCACAGAGTTAGGAAGAAGTGGGGGCAAAAATGACCCTATCCTTTCCTCCCTGGGTCCCAAATGGCCAAGGCCAGTAGTCAGTCATCTTTAAAGAACCAGGAAAAACTGCTCCTTGGGGAAGAGCCTGTGATTAAGTGATTTCCTTCACCAATACTTTCTCCTGCCTTCCAACCTTATTTTGAATAATGGCTTCCCTGGTCCCAAGGATGAAATAAGTTCCTCTATCCTATGGAATGAGCTAGGCCTTTCCAGGTGAAAATATCATATACAGAGAACACGAGTTAAAAAGGGAAAACCTCCCAGTCATCAGCTCTTCTCACACAGCTAAGCTGCTCAAGAACACTATCTGGGACTGGGGAGAGAGAGGGTCAAATGCAGCAGAGACCCACAAGTGAAGCAGAGCCTTGGGAGTTCTAGGTCAGGCACTGGCACTCACCTTGGACCCCAGGGAACTCCGGACCATGGGCTTCTCATGTGGCTGTGGTGGCAGCTGTGGTTCTTCCTCAATTTCCTTTTCTTTGTTACACTTCACCTTTTTGGGTGGCAGAGATTCTGTCTCTTCATCTGGCTGCCAACTGTTCTTGCAAGTAAAGACCCCAACGCTTTCCCGCTTCACTCGAGCTTGCCCAGCTTTAGCCCGAACTTCAGCCTGGCCCCTCTGGGGAGCTGCTGGGAGACCATCAGCCCGGAAACAGTTAGCTAAATTGAAGACCACATCACCATCCATTTTCTCCATTTTCACCCGCCCCAGATCCACCTGACTTCCAAGCTGCGAAAGGTCTGTGCTGGGACCCCTCTTACTGCTTGGAACCACATCTAAAATGAGTTCCTTAGAGTGGCTGTCATGAGGTAGCAAAGGCAGCTCAGGCATCTTGCACAAGTTCTGGGAGGTGGCCAGGACCAGCTCATGGGACATATAGGTAGCCAGCACTTGGTTTTTAGGCTTTGCGTCTCCTGCCAGCTTCAAGCCACAGGCAGCCTGGGCGCCTTCCATCTTAGGAGAACTATCAGAGCAGAGGTGGCTCTCAGATTCCTCAGATCCCTGATTTACTCCAATGTCCCCACTGCTAGGCTGAACAGACAGTGCCAGAGTCCCTGTCTGAGGGCTGAGAGTCAAGAGGACAGGGCTGACTTGTTCTTCATAAGGCTTGGCAGCAATTCGGCAAGTTTTCTTCTTTGTGACGACATCCTGCTCTGGAGCAAAGGGGCCTCCAGGTCGTGGCTGCCCCTCAGGAAGGCCATGAACAGCTTCACTGGAACCAAGGGATGACACACCAGAAAACTCAGAAACAATGCTGGTGGGTCTGATAGGCACCCCCTGACTGGGGGTTAGTTGCCTGGCACTAGAAATGCCAATAGAAAGCAGGGATGCTTGGTGGTATGGTGACCAGCCAACAGGCAGGACCTGGGTGCTAGTGGATTTCCCATTGATGGAACACCGTGGGTACATATTTGCGAGCCCTGTAGGTTTCCATAAAGACAGTTCCTTGGTTTGGCAGCCGGGAAGCCCAGGGGCAATGCGGGCTGGGGTATAACGGGATTTGACTGTGCTTGGCTGTCCCTCAGCACCAGCCTGGCTGCCTTTCTTGCCACAAGTGGCACCAGTGTTCTTAGGCTCTCCTTGATCAATGATGGAGATAGGCTCCTGCTTAGGGAGATGACGAGGATCTCGGTTAAGGCCCAGGTTAGGGTCCTTGTTTAACAGCAGGGATGCAGGAACTGGGTTGGCCACTCCCACATATGTGCCAGGAATGGTGCTGATCAGAGCAGTTGAGTTTTTTACCCAGGTGCTTGGGTCTCCATTCCTTACCATCTCTGGAAAGACAACAAAAGGTGAAGACGTGGAGCCCAGGCAGGAAGTGACACTGCTGCCAGCAGCCTGGGTTGTGCGCTGAGACCTAGACAGGACTGTGGAAAGTAGGGCTTTGCTGCTGGTGTGCACAGGGGTCAACACAGGCATGGGAGGTGTTTTACGCTGGTTCGGCAATGGAAGCTTCTGGCGGTTGGACTTGGAAGAAAGGTCAAGAGGCATCTCGCTGCACTCAGGTGGAGAGGCCATCTCTCTCTCCAGCTGTGGAGGTGACTTGAGAGGAGAGAAGGTAACAGAAGTCCCTTCTGTTTGTTGCTCAGTGACACCTGGCATCTTGGAGGGGTGTGGTGGAACTGAGCTCCCACTGGGGGCTGGCAGCAAAGGCTGTGAAGTTGGAAGCACCTTGGCAGAAGCAGCGGTGAGGGAGGTATCTGCCAAAGGTCCAGGGACTCCATCAGGAGCAGGCTGGCTGTTAGTGCTGCTGGATGGGGAAGTACAGGAGAGCCTGTTCACCTCTAAAGAGACCAACTTTGAATCTGAAGCCAAAGGTCGGGCCACAGAAAATGCACATGGATAAGAGCGGAGCTCTGGGGAGGCCAGCACACCTGGGAGACACCTATCCTGCAGGTAAGATGGCAGGACTGGGAGTGTGAGCGTGGAAGAGACTCCCAGAGTGGTTGGCAGTGTAGCCACACTGAGTGGCTGGCCACAACTTGGAGGTGGGATGTATACCAGTGGCTGGTTAGGAGTCAGCACTGTCCCTGGCTGAAAAGACAGAGGGACTTTTTGCATAGCTGGTGCCTGAGCTGCAGGAAAACACACTCGACTCAAACTGAAGGAGGCTGGAATGGGTGCTGAGGTGGGGATGGCAGCTGGTGTGGCAGCCGGCATGGGCGTGGGGGCTGGAGTAAAGATTGGGGCTGGGGTGGGTGCAGGCACCGGTGTTGGAGCAAAGGCAGGAATAAGGGTGGGGGTAGAGGGTGGGCCAGAGGATGGGGTTGGAGTGGGCATTGGCACAGATGGAGGGGCAGGAGCTGCTGGAGGCGTGGATGCTGGCATGGGAGCTAGAACTGGAGTTGGGACAGAAGCAAGGACCAAAGTGGGAGCCGAAGGAGGCACAGGAGCCTGGATCAGAGCCAAGGGAGGTGCAGAAACAGAGACTGTGAGAGGAGTAGGAGCAGGAGCCGACAGTGGCAATGGGACTGAGTGGGGAGTAGACACTGGCACAGGCACCAAGACAGAGGCTGACACAGAGAGAGGGTTTGAATCAGAGATGAGAGTAGGCACCGAGGGGGGTGCTGGAGCTAGAGCGGGCACTGGTGCTAAGGGAGGAGAAGGAGCTGAAGCTGAAGCTGATGTGGCAACTTGGACTGGAACTAGTCCTGAGTGGGGCGCTGGGGCTGGGACAGAGAGGGGAACTTGGAATGGATCGGGAACTGATGGGGTCACAGAGGTCGACCCAGGGGTAGGAGGGCAGATAGGTGCTGGCAGCTGACTAAAGTTAGTGGTAACTAGAGGCAGGGTTCCCTCCACAGGGACTCCAGTTCCCAGAGTTGCCAAAATGAAAGTATTCTTCTCCCCAACACTGTGCCGAGATTCCAAAGCCTTTACCCCGGCTGGCGAGCAGTCAACCTGTTTGCTCATTTGGGTGCTTAGGGGAGTCCAGGAGCAGTTGGCCCTACTGTGGCTGGCCTCAGTGCTATCAGGAGTGGGTAGCTTAAGCCCGTCTCCTGGGCTGCTCAGTGGCACCAGGAGGCCCTCGGACTCTGCTGTATTCCCAACATAGTCCATTTTTGGCTGGGGATCATCAGGCTGATCTTCTGACCTGTGCCCAAGTTTTTCTGTTGTGCTGCCATTTGGGTTTGCCCCCCCCGGCACTGCTGCCACTTCCAACTGCTGTGAGCTCCACCTGCAATGACAGAATAGCATGCACATCTTAGCAAGGTACCTGCAGCTGATACAAGTATCCTGAGGCTCCTGAGAAGTAATTGCTGTGCAAAGTACAGGGTGTATGCACAGCAGTCTCTATCTCACCTAGAACTTCTGTCTTCTTGTTCCCATTCTCATGATGGCCAAACCAGCCACATGGCCCAAGAAGCTCACCCTTTGACAGGCATCATGTGACAACACACAGCTCCTTACCTTGGAAAAACTGCTGCTGACACAAAACTCCTGAGATCCAAAGTGCTGGCAGTCACCTGTCGTGGACTCCTCATCAGAAAGAGGTGCTCTTCTGGCAGGAAAGACACAACCAGAAAAGGGACATAAGGCTCAGACTTAGACCTCTGACACTTCCTCTAAAAGTTTCTGCTTGCCTGGATTCCCTCCTATTTCACTGGGAATGGCAGGGTAGTGGAGGGCTCAATGAGGCAAAGCAAGGCTTGGCAAGTTTCTGAATAGGAGCCTTGTCTGACTACAATTTGGGAGATGCTCATTCTTTCTAGTGTTCTCACAAAAAGTGTGGATGAGCCACACTTTAGCACCTTCTCCTTTTCACTGGAGCTAATCCATCAGGTTGACCATTCAATCCCGGATATACAGGGCACTGCCCAAATGGAAAGTGATGTGAACCTTAAGCCTCAAAGGCATGCAAATTAGTTTTATTTAAACTCCAATCTTGTTTCAAGTCTACATGGGAAGTGCCATATTAGGGTAAACCTCTTCCAAAGCAAATCATCACTCCCATTGTGTTTTCAAGTCTAGTCCAAATCTGAATCACCTGCTCATCTACAGGCTGGCATGTCTGAAGCTCACACACATTCACAGCGCATACAATGACACTGATTTGAGGCCGTGTGGTCACTGACACTAAGCAGCTCTTTAAAAATACTCCATTTAGCTGAGCATGTGTCATGTGTCTGTAATTTGAGTACTTCAGAGGTGGAGACAGGAAGGTAAAGAATTCAAAAGCCAGTTGGGCCACGGGAGAGCTCAATTCAAACGGCAACAAAAATGCAGTGGGTGTGGTGACACACATCTTTTTAAATCCTGGCACTCAGGAGGCAGAAGCAGGTGGACCTCTGAGTTCAAGACCAGCTTGGACTCTGATCTACATAAGGAATTTTAAGCCAGCAAGACTACACCTTAAGACTATGTCTTAATTTAAAAACAGCAAAACAAAACAAACAACCATTTTTTTTCTCCAAAGCAACATTTCTAAAGCTCTACCTGACTCCAGCCAGCATTTTCCCTTCTCACAGTACATGGAGAGCACCAGCCCTTCAGCCTCTCTGTACTACGACATTCTCCCCTCCCAAAGGGAGGCCCTGAAAGCCAGACTCCATGTTCATGTTGGTATGTGCTGTAAGTAAAGGCTTAAGTCCAGAAAGCGGGGTCTCAAAGAAGAAAAACTCAACTGTACCCCTGACCCCAACCCCCCCACCTGGTCAAAAAGAATCCTCTAAATTTCAGGGAAGAAAGTTCAAAAACATTATATTGGACAAAACAAACAAACAAAAGGACTGCTAAAGTAAAATCAGAGGATGAGTACCCACTCAAAGGTTGCTGCTTTAAGTGTGGCAAGAACACACTGGCCCTGTGCTAGGGAGCATGCCAATAGCACAGCCCCTGGGTGGGAGTGGCTGCAGAGGAGGTAGGGGTCAAAGAACAAAGCTGCAGCAAATTTTCTGGGTGGGCAAATCATAGGGCGGCTTGGCCTGCTTTGTTTAGGTTTGCCTGCCATCTCTGGAGCCCTGCCAGAGAACCAATACAGCCTCTGAAGAAAAGTCAGCCCCTGCCTCACCAACCACTCTAGTGTAAAGGATATTTGGGGTGCCTGCAGCCAACTCCAGCAAAGAGTATTACTCCCTCCCTCTGACTAAAACAGGGACTCCCAAATTGTACCTGGGGCAAAAGAAGCAAAAATGGCAATGGAGATCATAGCAGGCCTCTCCCCATCTTTACAGGGCTCCAGAAGGGGCTAATGAAGGGGGAAAGGCTTGTCCCCTTTAAAAAGCAGTTAGGGTGGCAGAAGTGGGAGGGTTCCACTGCTGGAAGTGACTGTTGGTAACAAACAGAACAATTGTAAGGCAAGGGCTTTAGAGGCAGTTGGAGGTCTTGAGAAAGGGGAGAGGGAGGGCCCCAGGGAAAGGGAAAAACACACTTTCACATCAACGCCTGAGAGACCAGAAAAGCAGGAGCTATAAGTACCCAGTCTTGGGCTGAAGAAGCATGTTTCAACTAGAATCACCACGGATGGTTTAGGGGGGAGGGCTTTGGTAGTGAGGGGAAATAGCAGTCTCTCCCTCCACAACTCCAGGTGGGAAGGTACCATTTGTTTACATTCTTTCCCCAACTGACCAAGCTCCCTCTCTGCTTGGTGCACTCCTCCTTGGGCAGAAATACTGCTTCCTTCCAAGTAGAAGCTACTTTCTTGCAACCCAGCAGTTACCAAGGAAGCCTAGAGCTAGGCAGAGAAACTGGTGGTGGCATAGAAGCAGCACTTCTGGCTACTCTAACCATGCCTTAAGCCTAACCACCAGCCCTCAAGCTCTGGGAAAATATGTGCGATGATGTTTCAGCTCTCCTGAGGGGATGCAAAGCTAAGCAAATATTTAAAAAATATTTTTACAATTCTGCTGAGAGGGGAGCCTGGGATCAGAAAGGCAGTGGTGGGGGCTGGGTCACCTGAGCAAGGTTATGGGGGAACAGGTAAGGGAGAAAACAGACCAAGAGGCTCCAATCAGGACTGGAAATCTGTCCCACTGTTTCTTCCCACAAGAAGAAAGCTGGTATGCTCAAAGCTTTGTTAAACTTAACTAAAATCAGCCCAAACCATTCTGGGCCGATTTCCTAATTATTAAAGATTAACACCTAGACCTGTCACACTCGAACTTTTCAGTTCCTGTTGGGCCTGGGACAGTGTCTAAGAGAAAGATCCAACCCAGAATACATGAGGCACCTTACCTACCATCCCCTGAGACTTTTTGTATTTGAAGTCCCACTGCTCCTTCAGGACCCCCCCCCCTTAATTCCAGCCAAGGACTTCCTCAAACAATCAAGGAAATATGGATATTGGCCCTTACTCCAACCTCCTAACCGTCTCTCTAGCCTGGACTCAGATGGCACTGTCCTCTGATATTCCCAAGGAAATGCATCATTCTTGCATCTAGACACCACGGGACCTGTTCCCACCACTCCATAGCACTCACCAGCAATGTACAAAGATGGACTACCAGTTTGCTCTTGTACTGAATAAATGCTTATTGAATGAAGAAATGACTTAATGCTAGAGGCAAGCTGATTTAGCTGGAGGTTTGATTGAAACTGATTGACCACCTGTAGTCAACAAAAAGGCTAAGCCTTCTATTCTATACTCCTTAACCATATTTGATGAAGCTGGACAGATTTTTACAACAGAATTTTAAGTTTATCTCTAAATACAGCTTTATATATTAAATTTGTAAGGTCTGTAAGTTGCAAGGATGGGGGAAGGTGGTTTTTACATAGAGTAAAGCTGAACCTGATGGCAATGCTTGTAAACAATATTTGGGAGGCTAACACAAGAAGATTTTCTTCCTGTGCAGCATAGCAAGACCCTGTCTCTGAAACGGGGTTGGGGCTGGGGTATGGAAAGATGGTTCAGCAGTTAAAAGCACTGGCAACTCTTCAAAGGACCTGAGTTTGATTCCCAATACCCACATGGGAGCGCACAAGTCCACTTCCAGGAGAGCTGATGCCCTCTTGTAGAGCTCTATGAGCACCAGGCATGCACATGAATACACATTAATATATATTAATATATATGAATACATAATACATATTATATATGTGTGTATATATATATGTATATATATGTATATATGTATATATGTATATATGTATATATATATATATATATATATATATATATATATATATATATATATATATATATATTACCAGGCATGGTATCTCACACATGACATCTTTGTATTTGGGCTGAAGCAGGCAGACTGGGTAACAGACAAAAAGAGACCCTGTCTCAAAAAAATAAAAACAAAAAACACAGAGGGTCAGATTACATTTTAGAAATCAGCTATAATGTGGTAGAAGGTAACTGCAGTAGAAGGTGACAAACAGTATACGGGATCAGAAAAGACAATGTTTAAAAGGTCATCTTAACCACTGGGCATATTTGGTAATTTAGCATTCCAAGAAAGGTCTGTGAAAAGAGAAAATCAGATTTCACATCTGTCTCCCTTCTTGGAAGGAATATAGGATGGCAATGAACCAAGGTAATTTGTCCACTGCTTTTTAATTTCATGGGTTAGCTCTGTTTTACTGAGACAGGGGCTAACTTATATAGCCAAGGCTAGCCTAAAACTTAATAGGTAGCCCAAGCTGGTCTAAAATCCCCAGTCCTCCTGCATTAGCCTCCTGAGTACTGAAACTATATATGTGAGGAACCACAGCTTGCTTGTACACTAGCTTCTTGAAGGCTCAGACCTAAAGCTCTACATCAGGTTGAACAACTTATGACTAGAACATCATGGCCAGTGCATACTTACAAGGCATGACTACCACCTTGCCTTGTCAAAGATCATCTCTTAGAATTACCTAAGAACAGACCTCATGAACAAAGGGAAATATTTTTTTCCTGCTATGTCCCAGAAAAATTTTGACTTATTTTCATTGGTTTTAATTTTTGTATTCTAAAATTAAATTCCTTTTCAAAGTCCATCTCTAACACATTCCCTTAGTATAGGGACCTTTAAGCTATCAGGTGCTAATGGACTGAGAAAATAAAAAGGTCTATTCTCCTAACCTTAATCTCAGACAAGTACACACTTCTCTAGTTAGGAACTAAAGAAAAAAACTCATTTAAAAACAAAACATAAAACATGAAGCTGAAGGTGTAGCTTTAGTAGATAACATGCTTAGCATTCATGATTCCCAGCATTCCATTCCTAGCACCCCTCCCACAAAAAATAGTATATAAAAACAAAGACAGTCATTTTTTTTCCCTTCAAAAGTGTCGACATTAGCTCCCCCAGAGTGTGAATATTTTTTAGATTTACTTGAGAAACTCCAGCTCTATTTTTTTTTTTTTTTTTTTACATTCACTCATTTGTTTTGGGTGTAGGGTAGCAGAGGTGTGTGCAAGGTCAGAGGACAACTTGTGGAAGTCAATTCTCTCCTTACACCTAGTGGGTTCTGGGCATCAAACTCAGTTCATCAGGCTTACAGTAAGCATCTTTACCCAGTGAAGCATCGTAAAAGACCTAAACTAGGCTCTTTTTTTTTTTTGTCCTTTTTGAAGACCTTAGATCTTAAATTGGAGGGAAAGGGTCAAGCATGGTGGCACACGCCTGTAATCCCAGAACTCAGGGAAGCAGAGGCAAGTGGATCTCTGTGAGTTTGAGGCTAGCCTGGACTACAGAGCGAGTCTAGGACAGCCAAGGCTACACAAAGAAACTCTGTCTTGAAAAACAAACAAACAATTAGAGTAAAGTCCTATCGAAATTCCTCTGATGTGTTTGAACTTATATAGTCAATGGATTAAAACATCTGCAAGCATGGTAGAACAATGCCTTTAAGTTTGAAAAGGCTTAATAACCACCATACAGAACAATTTGGCCAAGGGATATAAAAAGAAAATATAAACTCTGAAGGGCAATTGGATAATCACCATATGATGTAAAATCTTAAAAAGGCCTCTCTTGACCAACCAAATAACAGAAAACTGAAGCACCCACACACAAACCAGGAAGGCCTCACTAACTCTGAACTTTATACTAAAGCTATGGTCAGCAACTCATCTCCCTTTGATACTCCATAAGGTCTTCCTGACATATTTTTCTAGCTTCTTGATGCAGGTAGTACTGGCCCCCAGAATGTCAATGACCAGCTCCCACCCTAAAGCTATGTGATGAGACCAACTTTCTTCTAAGCCCTGGATAAGAACTGAAAATATCTTATATGAACTTTTGAGCACTAAGCTTTGACCTAAGAAATAGAAACTGCAAGCACCTGAGCTTTCCTTTCACTCCACAATCTGACAGTTCTTTATCACTAAACACATAATACTAGGTGGCAAAAATCCTACATTGGCTTCCTCATTTTCACTGGAACAGGGACAGCGAGAGTAGGTGACCCCCATGTTTTATGAAAATCAGAAACAAGTAAGAATCTTGTCCCCAGGTCCTAGCCCCAACCTGGGACTAGATACAGGTTACTGGATGCCACCTCTGAAACCTTACCTCTCCTCGTTGATGCCACACATGCGAATGCGGTCAGAACTGGTCCAGTTGTGCACGCTGCTGTAAAGCGGTGCTGTAGAGATCATGACAGCCACTCAACACCAGATAAGATCTGCTGTGGCCACTCCCCCTGGGGAAAGAGAAAACCAAAAAGTTAAAGCTGAGAACAAGCACAGCTGCTTTTACCATCTTTTACACTGAAACATTTAAATTAAGGTAATCATCGAATCAAAATGCTCACAGTGATCACTCTCACAAGCCAGCCTGCTATGGAAAACGAAGGTCCAAATAAGGAAAAGATTGCGCCAGCTTTCCAGGAATCCACATTTCAGGATGGAGATGAGGACACTGTCAATCACCCTGAGTGATTTTTAAATTATCTTCAAAGACACGTATATGTGAATGTCTGAGAAAATTCAATCTACGGCATACAGTTGAGGGACAGTGTATCTCTACATATATTTAGTGTAAGCAACTCCAGTTAGACTGCTATGCCCATACCTGAGCAACAAGTTCAGTGAAAGACAAATGGGGGTCTTCTTCCACTACTGCTCTATAATCTATGGGTATGTAAGGATCTGAGTGACATGGCCAAATTAAGCTCTCCAGAGGAAGCACACACTTTATTTTTAAGTCTTTCAGAAGTACTCTGCTCTGCTTCCAAGATGGTTACAATGTATCTATGTAAGATGTAAAAAGCTCCCTTCAAATTAGGTGCAATGATCTTTGTACTCTAGGCACAAGCAAATGAACAAAGGCAAGCCTCCATCAAGAACCACACGTTTCTGTCCTTATCCTTTCCTATGTGTCTGTCTGCCCCACCGTGGCTTACTAAACACTTCATGGGACGTTGTCTAGTCCTTGTATTGACAACCACCACACAGTCATTTCATCTTCGACAGGAAAAGGGATATCAAGGAAAACAGCTTCATTCCAGTGAGCCTGTTTTGTTGACCTATTAGCTAAACTCATCATTCACCAAAGTTCAACTGAACAGAACCCTACAGTGATCAGACTTTTCGGATGTTCTCTGTGTTCCAAAGAAGTCACAGTAAAGTACAGTCACATCAGAGATTTGCTCCACTTATCCTTTCAATTTTCACAAATTGTTCATACTCAACATAATTCACTTACTCAACAAACATTTATCCTAGGTACTAGAGATTCAACAACTAACAAAACCTGACAAACTCATACCTGCACAGTAGTTACATTCTAGAGGGGTGGTGACAAGGACAACAAGCATATTAAATAATTCTGTGTTATAGTACATTCCAAGCCACACAACACAAAATAAGGAGCATTGGGGACAATGTCAGGGAGTAGAGGAGGGGAGTGGCTATGATTCACAATAGGGTGATCAACATGGGCCTCACCAAGAGGAGAACATTTATTTCAACAACCTAAAGGACTAAGCCATGTTGATACCTAGAGGGAAGAACATTCCAGGCAGAGGAAAGACAAGTTCTCAAAGCAGAAGGAGGCTGCCTGCTCAGATCAAGTAAGGGGCAGGAGGTCACCATGGCTGGACTCAAGGACGTGGTAAAGAAAGAACAGCAGACAGGTATATACCCATCCTCTTTCTTGACTTCATCCTCACCCCATCTCTGTCCCAGCCAAGGGGTTCTGTTGCCCTCCTCCATTTTCTTTATACTTGTCCTCTCAAGCCACTCCTGGCTCAGTGGTGGCTGCCTTATCTGCATGTGGTCCTTTGGTTATCCACCCCAGAAACCTGGATGTGCACAGAAGGTGAGTCCCTCCTCTTTTTCTCATTTTTGCTCTCTCAATCTCCTTTTGCTCTCTTCCTCACTCTCAATTTTCTGATTGTTCTCTCAGATGTCTTGCACTCGCTCCCCCCTTTTTGAGAACTCTAAGCAGAGCCTCCCTCAATTTCCCTTCCTGCCTCTCTTCCCAGACTCCCTTATGTAATCTCTTCCTCCCCATTTCCATTTCCTCTTCGGTATCTCATTCTTCTCTTCCTCGTCCTCTTGCTTATTCTTCCAATCTTTCTCACCTTTCTGTCCCCCCTCGTATCTTTCTGCCTACCCCCCATTCTTCCTTCTGGGTCTTTCTGTGTGTCTCTTCACTGTGTATGGCACTCTTGCCCTCCATCTTTCTCAGCTCTCACAATTTTAACTTACCCCTAGATGAACTGGTGACTGTCACATCTACGTCTCTAGTCCTGACCTCTCTCCATAGGCCCAGACCAGAATTCCAGAGGTCAGCAACTTGTCGTTACATGGATGTCCACCAAGCCTTTAAAATCCAACAGATCTCAAACTAGACTCATTACCCATCCCCATAAATGTACTCCCTAGCCCACCATGCCCAGTCACAGCATGCTTCCTTAGTTACTAGAACTACTGTCCTCTTACTTGAAAATTCGTCAATTCCTCTTCCCATCACTCAAATCAAATCAGGAGTCAAGTCTTGATAAAGCCATCTCCCTCTCTCTTTCTGCCCCTCTTGCCACTGCCCTGGTACAGACCTAAATCATCTTCATCATCGTACCCCAGAAATATTATACTGTCCTCTCAACTGTTCTCTCAGCCTCCCATTATTTGATTCCACAATCAGTTCATATTCTGAAATGCTGCTTTGATCAGACCTTCCTACTCTCATCAAAAGTCGTCAGGATCAAGCCAGCACTCAAGCCAGAATTCTTAGGACAGTCTTTAGGGCCCTCAGGACCTGGCCTCAAACCTCCTCTGCTTGCTCCTCTTCTGCTACATCATGCCTTTTGTCTGCCATCCTAGTTATTCCCAACTCCCAGCCATTCAGTTTCAGGATTCTACTGCTTCTTCACTCTGAGATGGTCTCCCCCTGTGCCCCTTCTTCCCCTCACTATCATCCCTCAATGCCTAGTTTAAATGTCATTGTGTCATTCTCTTAGCTGAGGCCCAAGAACCATTAACCCCTCCCTTTCTGGTCCTCAAACATTTCCTTCTTTTCTCTGGCCTACCACTGGTTCTCTGCTGTGAGTTAGCTGGGTATACACAGCAGGTTTGTCTCTGTACCACAGGATCAGCTACTACAGTTACTGAATAACAACTTTTTCCCCTTTTGGTTCCTCTGTAATACTTTACACATAATAAGGACTCAGTAAATACATGTTATATGGGACTAAATTCTAGATGAGAACTGAGGTAGAACCAAAATGAAAAAGCCTACCATGCTTGCTAAAAAAAAATAAAAATAAACACATGCATGATTTATAGTACACTTTTCTCAAAGCAGCTGGATTCTGCCTCAGTTCACCATCTTTGTCCTATTTAGTACCTCTGTAAATTGCAAGTAGCTAATGTATATACAAACTCTGTAATGGTCCCATAAAGTAGGGATTGACCTCGTGCTCCTACCTCTCCCTTACTGTCGAAAACCAGTTTTACCTCCACTTGCAATCCAATTCCTTTACTCCATATAAATATGTAATTTTTGACTTTTTCTTTATAGAAGCTATAGTATATCTAGCTTTCCCATTAAGAAGAAAAATAAAATTCTTAATATGTGTTAATTTTTAATATGTTTGGAGAGTCATAATGCTTTACCTTTTTCTGAAGGTTATCTTTTAACATAATTAACATTAGGGTAATTTTAGAAACATTTTTAACAAAGACCCCATTTGCTAAGCTTAGTGGTGCATATAATCCAAAGAAGACTGAGAGTTCAAGCAAGAGTCCTTTCCCTTACCATCCTTGTTAATGAAGTTTTGGTCATTTGTTAGAATATCTTAATCTTTTTAATAGATTAAAAAGCAATGGTTTGCCAGGAGGTGGTGGTACACACCTTTAATCCCAACACTAGAGAGGCAGAGGCAGACAGATCTGAGTTTGAGGCCAACCTGATGTACAGGGTGAGTTCTAGGACAGACAAGACTACACAAAGAAACCCTGTCTCAACAAACCAAAAAAGAAGGAAGAGAGAGAGAAAAAGAAAAACAGGTTCTGCTTGCTAGCTAATACATCAGGTACTTTTTCATCTTTTTCTCTAGGAAATATCAGAGGAGTCAGGCAACAGACCTACTCTTGCTGTAAGATGAATTTCAACATCAGGTACAAGTTTTAGTAGCCACATAAGTATCTGTATACAGCAGGTACTTCAGTGACCATGTGATTTTCTTTTTGGGGGGTGGGGTGGATGAGACAGGGTTTCTCTGCATAGCTTTGGCTATCCTGGAACTCACACTGTAGACCAGGTAATCTGCCTCTGCCTCCTCAGTGCTATAATTAAAAGCATGCACCATTACTACCCACCCTGACCATGCAATTTTTACTCAGAATTATTTCTGTTCTATTTCAAGGAGACAGGTTGTTTGCAGGTACAGGTCAGAAGTCAAAGGGAGATTCCCAGTGTTTGGAAACAGAACAACAGACCAAACACCCACTAGATAAAGAGCTTTTAGGCACAATAACATATAAAAGAAAAGGTAGAAGCAAAACAAAAACAAATAAAACAGAAGATAAAGCCAAACATGTTCGTGATGTAGTGTGTGACAACCTAGAGAGCAAAACTGACACTGGATGCCCTACGTGTGTGTGTGTGTGTGTGTGTGTGTGTGTGTGTGTGTGTGTAGCTATGTATACATAAGCTCAGAGGCCAGAAGCTATTGGATCCCTGGAGCTGGAGTTAGAGAGATGGTTAAAGGCCACCTGACTTGGGTGCTGGTACAGTAATCAAATTTGGTCTTCTGTAAGAGCAGTAATGCTCTTGATCATTAAACCAGCCCTCCAGCCCTCATGAAATCTTGAAAATTGGGCATTCTCTTAAATCTTGGCTTCATAACTTTTCTTGTGATTTTATTGGAGCTGCACTCCTGACCATCTGAAATCCATGTTGCTAATTAACAGTAGTCTTTGTGCTCAAGGGGTAGAAAACAGCATACACACAGGCAGGACACTGAACTAAACGCCCTATATAACAAAGCAAGATTCATGAAACAAGAGAGAAAGCCAAAGTGAGCATCAAATGCTGCACTAGAAAACAAGCTTCTGCTGGCAAAGTAGGAGTCAGGACTAGAACAGTCAATGCAAACTAGTGTTTCCCATGACAAGACCACTGAGAAGCTGGTTACAAATAGTATCTTAGATCTCAGCTCCACACATTCTGATTCAGTGAGCCTAGAATTTTTGT